AACACTCACACACATCTTACAGCTTATATCTTACAATGTATCAACACTCACACACATCTTACAGCTTATATCTTCTTACAGCTTACAATGTATCAACACTCACACACATCTTACAGCTTATATCTTACAATGTATCAACACTCACACACATTTTACAGCTTATATCTTACAATGTATCAACACTCACACACATCTTACAGCTTATATCTTACAATGTATCAACACTCACACACATCTTACAGCTTATATCTTACAATGTATCAACACTCACACACATCTTACAGCTTATATCTTACAATGTATCAACACCCACACACATTTTACAGCTTATATCTTACAATGTATCAACACTCACACACATTTTACAGCTTATATCTTACAATGTATCAACACTCACACACATCTTACAGCTTATATCTTACAATGTATCAACACTCACACACATCTTACAGCTTATATCTTACAATGTATCAACACTCGTCGATAAAACAGTTACTCATGTGACATCATCTATTTGTACGGAAATAAATAGCGGATCCTGACAAATACATACTATTACTTCAACTTCGCCACATAAAGTAACCATGAGGCCCTATCACTGAAATAGGTCAATGTTTGAGTAATTCGGCCGTAGCCTTCTCCAGTGTCAGGAGACGACGATAATAGTAATAAAAAAACAATGAAATATAATTACATTCTATCGTTCAAAATATGTATCTCGAGTGCAGTCACTAATCAATATTCTATAAAGGTCTTGATTCCAAATCTGTGTGGCCGCCAACACCATTCACAATATCATCTCCATCGAGTGTCTCTCATTCGTAAGTGCATTCACATTACAAGCGTCACAAGGGATGCTTGGGTAAATGGTGTTTAAATAGTGTGTTCGTGTTTACCAAACATGATTACCATTTTTGCACTTCCTATGATCATATTTCCAGAACAGCAACGCTATATCTGTGCCCCCTGAACCTATGGAATCAATGGCGAAAATACCTCTTCTATTCGTAGTCAAGAGCAACCCACAACCTCCTCTTTATTGTGATCAAAGGTACTTGCTATCAACTTTCCGTAAGGCTCACCCAGTGGACGTCTGTCAGACCGTAAGATCAGTTCAAACAGTGCAAGACAGCCTTAACTCGCCACACAGATTCCGATTAAACATGTACTCTGGTTAAGCGTAATTCGATATTAACAGCAACGATGAAATCGGTTAGTCAATCTCTGCACACTCCTTACCCAAACACCGTTTAGTTCACTTGCCTTGTGAGGGTTCATTATACCAAAGATTAATATCACACAGACTATTCATTTCAAGCTGCCTTTTTGTTTCCTCTCGTTCTTCTTTAAACGAGTTTACCATTACAGTAACATGTGTCATGGAAATATTCAAAACGTGAAAACATAATTTTTATATTCATAATTTTTTATCTTTTGTTCACATCTATTGTACGACTTCACGTGTAAGCATCAATGCCTAGTTGACAGCTTGCGATACAGTGACAGTAACGTGTAAATGTATACGGCTGTGGTATTCGCTGTCATCCTGGTGTAACCGGGTTGTGATTGGTATAAATGACGTCCAAGCACAGGCTGCGGGTGTGAGGTTTTATTCGCAGTAAGAGAGGTAACGACACCCTGCAATACACAAAACAATAACATAAGGTAATATCATAAAAACATGATGCATCTTTCACATACAAGTAACTTACAAGTACACATTCACATTCGCATATAAATATCTTTGTTAATGAGGCATAAAATCATTGTCTTGATTACATAAAGAATTCATGAAGGGCGATAACTCAATGTATGTGTACTATACATGAGGTATACAATGAACATGGATCATTGTTATAAATAACATTACATGTTCTCAATACAATAATTAATTACCACTTTGTGGTACCAATGATACATATGACAATCAGTGATACATATCTATCATAATATATTATTTCCAATATATACAGAGTATAATATTTAATATTCAAATTATCCGTACCTTGTGGGTGACACTGGGGTGTTAATTCTCCTGGGGCAGCCGCCTCAATTGTACAGTGGCAGTGTTCACCTATACAGGAACACATCAATTCAAAGATATAGCTACAAGATATACAATGAAACCCAATGCTTAAAAAGTATCACTCCAGAGACGGGAAAACACATGAATTGGCTGATCACGGAAAGAAGTGTTTCACATTGCAAAGAATTATCATAACACATAAATTAAGGCATTCACTCACTAAACATTCACACAGAAAGATTTGACCAGGTCGGAATATTTAGCCCTACTTATTTAATGACTATGGTGACATGATCACCATACCAAAGATAAATATATTAAAGGTGTTCAAATATGATAAACATAGCTTAGACTACCTATATTATATGCATATATAATAGCTAGCAATAATATATAATACTAACCTTAAACAATGAAAATTCTCTGTTGCCAATTAGTCAAAGATCAGACCAGTCTGTAAGTCAGTGTGTTGTCAAGTGCAGGATGGATGAAAAAGTGCACAGTTTAAACCGACCAATGAAAACAAGGCTTGGGTAAAACAAAGACGAGACAATGACTTAAACATGAACTAAGCTAAAACCCCTTTACCTTCATAGACTGCTCCAAAAGGATAGTAAGGAGAAGTTGAAAACTACTGTCCTAACAACTTTAAAATACTAGAACATAAAAACACCTGAATTAGATAAAACTATTCACAACAAACTATTCAGAACTGGTATCTGCCACAGTGGCATATCTTTGTTTTCATGCAAAACAGTCTACACAAAGCACAAAAATGCTTCCATAAGGCCAGTCTGCTGTGACTATTGTTATTGCTTGTACATGTAACAAGAAAAAACAACAAAACGTCTGATAACGAGATGAGCGAACTAGCATTGGCAGTGATGTTATCGTTACGCCTGAGTGCTCAATACAGTTCAGTTATTGTATTGTTGGTGGTCTCAGTTTCAGCGAAGACTTTGAAGCAAATATCATTACAAGTCCATTCCCAAAATGTTTATACCGAGATAACCCTCCTACCCCTCCCCTTGTGTTGAAAAAGTGACATGTTGGTTGGAAGGTTTTCTTTTCTTATAAGCTGCAGAATATAAATTAAATTATAAATTATTGGATATTTATGTAGCGCACTTATTCACGCACTAATGCATGCTCAAGGCTTGTATACAGAGTATCAGAAGCAGTAGTTTCCCTGTCGTGCCTCGGTTCCATAATTTGATTTACATGCTGCTAATGAATAACAGGAGCACTGACTTCAGCGCCATGGCCAGGACCATAGCCGGGACCATACTAAACACACTGTGTAGGTGTCCGGAACTGCGGACGTCACCAACGATCACTCCATTCGTATCGTTTTTCTGATGTTTTGTCCTTTGCGCCCAAGGAAATCAGTTTTGTCGGACAATAGAGGCATTCTTGCGTTGACGTTTTATATATAATTATAAGTGCACGCTTTATCACTGTTTAAGACTGTCCACTATTGGCCTGAATGACTGCACGGCACCTACGGCTGATGGCACCAAGAAACCTACTGATACACCTTGTGGAATGGCAGGTAATTCTCTCTGGCCTAACTGCTTGGTTGGCCGTGGTTGACGTTGACGTAGCCGTCTGTCAAGATCATCCCACACAAACTCACTTTGTTAGGGGTACGGTGAATAAGACTGTTGACTAAATGTTGACTTCATAAGCTGCACGTTCTTCCCGCCCCTGATGCTGTTCCTGCAACAGTTTACTGTTACTTTACCCTCGTAAAACTTCACACCGTAAATCAAAACAAACGTTATGAAAGTTTTTTCCAGATTTGGTCTGATGTTTTCATTATATTCTGCGTTGAAATGAATTTTTTATCATAAACCGATTTGTAGTTAGATTGTGATCGGTATCATTTTGACCGAAACTGGCTGAAGGCAGCACCCACGTTGAATAATAATAATGCATTTCTATAGCACCTGATATCCAGCTGAAAGCTGCTCAGCGGTGCTTTACATGAATACAAACATGGAACAACACAAAAGTTAAAAGTTCTTGGAGGATAAGAATGTTTTCAAGGATTGGCGGAAAGAGTCAATTGAGTTTGCAGATCTGACTTCAGGAGGGATACTATTCCACAGTGCTGGGGCTGCCACAGAGAAGGCATGACCAGCAAGCTGAGTTCTGGTGAATGGGACAGTGAGCTGTGACTGTTCTGAGGACCGGAGGTTTTGTGGCGGAATATAAGGAGTGAGGAGTTCGGGGCTGTCTCACAGTGAAGAGCAGAGTAGGTGAGGGTTAGAATTTTGAACGATACACGTTTCTGGATTGGGAATCAGTGCAGCTGTTTCCGGATAGGTGTGATATGCTGATGTTGTCTGGTACGGGCAATGACTCTGGCTGCTTTATTCTGGACTCTTTGTAGATGGAACAAGTATATATGGATGACAACTTCTTTTATTCTAGAGCACGACGTTTCGATACAGGTTCTTGTATCGTTTTCAAGTGAGAATGGTACAGGGAGAGAACAGGTGATATATATAAAACAAGACTAATTAACAAGGCAAGGCGGAACAACAATGTGATGATAACAAATAAAGGGATAACAGATGATTACAGGGATAAACATAGAGGCCAGCGGAAGCCAATGATACACAGAGCATAGAATGTATACACGATTAACAATGTGATGATAGTGAATAAAGGGTAGGAGAGGACCACGGGGATACACATAGAAGCCAGTAGAAGCCAGTAATGTTTCTACAAGAGGCTATGGTTGATTGATGAGCTCATCGTATGCAGTGGGGATAAAGTAGCCTTGATCTCTATTAATCAGTGGTCGGTATCGTTTGATGTTAATTCCTTCAGTTATCTTGAGTTTGGTAAAGTCTGATTGGTTTCTAGAGATGGTGGTGAAGTCAGTCCAGTTGATTTGGTGATTGGGATGAGTTGCTATGTGGTCTGATATGGCTGATTTCTGGTCCGAGTTGATGTATGAAGTCTGATGTTCCCTCCACGAGTGAAGTCAGGCATCATCTCCACGCTTACCGGAAGGGCTAAGAGCATCTGTTCTACGACTCTCCATGACGAAATCAACCACCTGAAAGAAGTATTTGTCAGCCTTAACCACTACCCACCCCAGTTAGTGAACAGAACAATTGCAGCTACATTATCACCATCTACTACTAAAATTCCTCGACCTGAATCTGACCCTATAAAGATCTCCATTCCATCCATCGGCAAACCTTCCCACCAGATCAGCAGGCCCCTTAAGCAACATGCAGGCATAGATACCACCTTTTCAACTTCCGCCACCATCAACAACCTCCTGCAGGCCAATGGTAGAAAATACCCACAAACCAAGAAACCCCAAAGCCCCAAAGGCAAAATTGACTGCAATTGTGGACACTCATACATAGGAGAAACATCCAGGCCCGTCAACACCAGAATCAAGGAACATCAGATTTCAACCATCAAATCGGACCAGAAATCAGCCATTTCAGACCACATAGCAACTCATCCCAATCACCAAATCAACTGGACTGACTTCACCATCCTCGTTAGAAACCAATCAGACTTTACCAAACTCAAGATAACTGAAGGAATTAACATCAAACGATACCGACCACTGATTAATAGAGATCAAGGCTACTTTATCCCCACTGCATACGATGAGCTCATCAATCAACCATAGCCTCTTGTAGAAACATTACTGGCTTCTACTGGCTTCTCTGTGTATCCCCGTTGTCCTCTCCTACGCTTTATTCACTATCATCACATTGTTTATCTTGTATACATTCTATGCTCTGTGTATCATTGGCTTCCGCTGGCCTCTATGTTTATCCCTGTAATCATCTGTTATCCCTTTATTTGTTATCATCACATTGTTGTTCCGCCTTGCCTTGTTAATTAGTCTTGTTATATATATATCACCTGTTCTCTCCCTGTACCATTCTCACTTGAAAACGATACAAGAACCTGTATCCAAACGTCGTGCTCTAGAATAAAAGAAGTTGTCATCCATAAATACTTGTTCTAGTTGACTTCCAACTTCTAAAAATGCCACTCAAAGAAGTCTTTGTAGATGTGTGATGGCTCCAGATCCTGACAGTATAGAATTGCAGTAATCCAGATGCGAAGTGACATATGCATGCACAAGCGTTTTGGTGGTATCAACATCAAGGTACCGTCTGATATTTCCGAAGGAACAAAGTTTGAAGTTTGTGGTTCTGACTGTCTTTAGGGTTTGAGTCTTGCTCGACATACACCTGTCCATTTGAACACCCAGATTCCTGACAGATGTGGAAAGTGCTACGGAAGATGATCCAACTGAGAGCGTGTGGCTTTCAACTTTGCTGAGTTGGTTGAAGGTCCTGATCATCATGAATTCAGTTTTGTCACTATTGAGTTTAAGGAAGTTTGATGACATCCAATTCTGAACTTTGCAAACACATTCTTCTAGCTGTGAGATTCCATTCCTGATATAACGAGGTTTAATGCAAATATTCAGTTATTGGTCATCGGCATAGCTATGGAATTTGAGTGAGTACCGGCGTATAATGCCACACTAGAGGTTTAGTGTAGACTGAGAAGAGGACGGGTCCAAGAACCGACTCCTGTGGAACCCCACACTTCAACTCGTTGCTGTCTGATATGAAACCATCAACTAGAACGGACATGGACCTCTCATCAAGATATGACTCAAGCCATGCCAGAGCTGTTCTTGTAATCCCAAACGTGTACCGGAGACGCGATGTCAGGATGTTGTGGTCCACCGAGTCAAAAGCCTTCTTGAAGGTCCATAGAGCGAAGGATGTCGTTGTGAACTCGGAGCAGCGCTGTTTCCGTTGAGTGCGATTTCCTGAATGCAAACTGGAAGGTTCTGACAATTGATGGTCAGATATGTGCCTGCTTAGTTGAGCGAGGACCACTTTCTCCATTACTTTCGAGAGAAAGGGCAGGTTCGAGACCGGCCTGTAATTCTTAAAGTCCAAAGGATCCAAGGATGCCTTTTTGAGTAACGGGGTAACCAGTGCCTGCTTGAAGCAATGTGGCACTGTGCCAGAGTCCAGGGAGCACTTGATGACTGAACAGGCTGCTGCTGCCACTGATGGCATGCAATGACGTAATAGCCACGTCAGAACTGGGTCAAGAGAGTATGATTTACAAGGTGACACCCGAACTATACTGGTCACATCCTCTTCACTGACAGGGATGAACTCCTTAAGGGTGGTGCCACTGAACTCTGTCTCGTCTGACAGGGGGTCCTGATGAGAATGTTCGTTTGAAATGTCCTCTACAATTTTCCGCACCTTGTCCGAGAAGAAATCAACCAAGCGATTAGCTTGCAGTTTGGAATCTGATGGACACCTTCCAGAACTGGCTTCCTTCACTTCTGTTAGCTTCTTCACGATCGAGAATAGCTGTTTGGAATAGAATCACGTTTATCAAGATTTAGGAAAGCGGACTCCACTGTACGATTCCGACTGTGTCATATGGACGTATTTATGCATGTATTTCACTATCAGATGGTGATGATTCCTGGTATTCCTGGTTGCTGTATTCATCGGAATATCATATTCTACTAAATGTTAGTTATTGTTCGGTGAACATCTACTTGGGATGGTGGCTACAAATGAAACTAAGAAGACATTGTTGTTCATTGGCGATATATTGGACACGTCTATCGGCTTCTATTTTCAGCCAAGTAATGTTTTCTTTACGTTGGTAATGTGTTGGTTAAATCCAATTCTCAGGTGTATACTTTCTTTTGATTGCAGTTTCGTGCAAAGTATTCACCAAAGACCGAAATGGACTGACTTCACAGATGTTAGACTCATTCCGAGCCATCGACGTCGAAATCTCTACTGGTTTGCCAACATCACCACGGAAATCAGGATCGCATAGATACAGATTTCGGTTTCTTAATTATACCGAGGCACAGCGTCTCCAAATCTACACAGAAGTACTTCACGGTTATTTTGTTGCCCCGGGAAGCGGCCAGGCAGTGTCAGGTTGTCCACCCTCTGAAGATTGTGTTAATTATGTCGGATGGCATGAACAATTGAACAGTTTAAAGTGTCATAAGACATGCCGTAAAATGTCTCAATGTCCATTGATAAATCATGGAAAATAAAAAATACAATAGTAAAAATACATTTTGAGTGAATTTATGCCAACAGTATACTAACAACAATACCGTCAATTGTACGACCACAACTATACTATAAGCACGGGTCAGTGAACTGTATAGTGATATTGAAACAATACGTTAACCCTGAAATCTATAAGCAAAATGAAATTCGTTTTGAAATCAGCAAACCATCAGTTTTATATATTAACAGTTGTATTATAGAATTAGGTCACCAAGTTACTCAGCAAATTAAATATACAGGCCGTATGCAATAAAGTGGCAGTGCAAAACTCACTTTACGATGGCAGTATAATTATAAAAAAACACTTGTAATAGCATTAAAGTCAGTGATAATAACATTTCCCTAACAGCAAACTTCTAACTTACACAATAGCCCCAGGCTGGATATCCATGGCATTAATAATGTTCTTCACACAATCTTTGGTCTTGCTTGATGTGATGTGAAGTGAGATGATAGAGGCATGCGCTTGCCTACTTCAATAGCCTAAATTAGAATATCTACTAGAAGGCGCTTTGTGTTGAAGGGTAAGTATATGACTATTTCAGAGATTCCAGATTCCAAAATGCATCCACATTTGGTAATATATTCCTCGTAACTATTCATTGTTAAAACACAATGTCATCAACTTCTACTGAATCTCAACAGAAACATTGTGATACATTTGCAACACTGTTTGTCAATACGTTACTGTGCAATGTAACAAAATCACTGTCAAATATACAAAATAACTAAATGATCACATCAAAATGGAGGATAACTCCATAGTCAAACATGGCAATGTTCAATCCAATGAGCAAAAGTAGTCTGTGCTGAAAGCTGATTTGATTGTACGATTCCGACTATATTATGAGTATGTGTATATACATAACTACCAAATAGCGTATTCCAAATAAGATTGGGGCTGTGGGGTAGCCTAGTGGTTAAAGCGGTAGCTCGTCACGCGGAAGACACGGGTTCGATTCCCCAAATCAGATCAATGTGTGAAGCCCATTTCTGGTGTCCACCACCGTGAAATTGCTGGAATATTGCTAAAAGCAGCGTAAAACTGAAGATCTACCCCGCGACCCGCACTGCGCCATAGTGTGCGGGCAGACTGGTCGTGGGAAGGCCGTTTTCGTGCTGGATTTGCTGGAGGGGTACTACCAGGATACCTTCCCCAACATCATTATCATGTGCCCTACTCTGCATATGAACAAGACGTACACGGAAAGACCTTGGGTGATGACGGACCCGGACGTGCACAGAGTCGACCCGGGAACACGCCTGCAGGACTGGCTGAAGGCTTACCATAACAAATTCAAGGGGGAGTCGACGCTGTTCATCCTGGACAACTGCAGTGCTAACAAAGAGATAACAAAAAAGAGAGACGTGCTATAGTACCTAGCCTTCTCTGGCCGGCACGCAAAGCACAGCGTCTGGGTGCTGACGCAGAAGTTCAACTCGGTACTGAAAGACGTCAGGGAAAGGACGCGATGGGTTGCCTTATTTCACTGCAAGGACAGGGATTCGTTCGAGGAGTGCTTGAGGGAGAATGACGTGATGAGCAAACTAGAATGGGAACGGGTGAAGAGGCAGCTAGCCGAGACGAAGCATGCTAAGCTCATGGTCAAGACCGACCAACCCGTGGCTTACCAAGTGCTAAGCATTGCCAAGCAATGCTGAGTAATGCTTAGCAAATGCTTAGCAATGGCTTAGCAATTAAAACTTACAGTTCTATATGTCACCTTTTGAAGTGCTCATCGTGTGCAACCTAACCTTCATCTTGCTGTGCATCTGTTATTATATCATTAGAGTTAAGAATCGCTTGTAACATTATAGGATGGAGTGCAATGAACTGCTCGAACAACTGTTAGTGGAGGGTGATAAGCGAGAGAAACTGCCTGATGACGAAGCGGGAGAAGCTGGTGGCGCTGGCGGTTGGCGGCAAGGCCAAACAATACTTTGGGGACTATGCTCCAGATAAAATCCAGAAACTACCCGCCGATGAGGTCAATAAGCCGAGTCCCGGCTTGGGGCCGAGATAACGAAGACTATAGAGTCGACCATGACACAGATCTACACCGGTTTGGCGTCGTACCTCCTCCCCATTCCCCTGGAACGCCGGCTTTACCTGTGGGAGGAACTCGAGAAGGCCCCCTTTATCGAACACGCTTTGAGCGCCGTCAGCTGCCTGCTGTACCACAGACACGGCATGTTCTTAGCCCCGGTGACGGCGGCGATCATCACGGCGAAGCATTGTCAATTTAAAGAGGGGAACAATAATAGTAATAGTATACAAGATGGATGCTGCCCAGCAGGAAGTGACTCCGACCCCAGAGGGGGAGGAAACCCCGACCCCGACACAAGTCACTAAGCAGAAGAACCCTAAGAGAGTCGCCGCAGTTAGAAAAGGGGGCCTGGCCAAGCGCCATAGTAACTATACTCTATGGATAGCCGCAGCTGCTGCGGCTGCTGCGGCTTTCATGCTATATAATAGGCCACAACCAACCCCACCCTCACAGGCACGAGTAAAGGTCAACCCCAATATTATGTTATAATG